TGTTCTTAGACGTTCTGGTAATCCTTGAAATCCATACTGCAGCTCATGACACGTAGATCCAATGCGAGCACCCTACGCCATAGACTTCCTCCACCGAAATTGCGACTGCTGAAGTAGACTGGTTCCTTTCTCAAGTCGCCCCAGTATCGCTTGTTTCCGTCGGGATCGTCTAGATTGAATTTTTTTCATCCGAAAGGACGATCTTGATAGGAATTATTCAGCTCTATGGTGAGATTTTGTTGCAGATCTACCTTTGCCCAATCTCTCCCTAGGTTCATCTTTGCAAATTCGAGTCGAGCCTCTCTGTGGCGAACGGTGATTCGTGGCACCTTCTCCATTGCTTGTCTGGTGATGTTCTCGCATCTTCTCACTCTCTCTCCAGACTGTAGTCTTCGACACAGAGAGGTTTAATTCCGATCGGATCTGGTTCAAGTAGGACGTACTGTTGGAAACAGGCCTCAGAATCTTCCGCTGGTCACGGGCAGTAATCTTTCATGGGTGTCCACAGTCGGTGTTATATTTAGGGACATCAGGACTCTCCAGAAATATTTGGATAGGCCAAGGGGATCATTGTATAATCCAGGTAAATTGCAGGGCCGATTCGTTGCAATCGTTTGATTAGATGGGCTGGCTGTATTCCATGTGGCCATTGAGCGGAATATTGTATGTGTGCAGCCTATTTGGAATGACAAATTTACTAAAATTGGAATTCCGTGACAGTTACAGAAATGGGAAAAGGAGTTCCACGACTAGTTTGACGAGAGGTTGCACTTCCGGTTGGGAGGATACATGAGTACATTGTCGGGATTGTGACTTTGCTAGTGAAGAGGAGATAGGCCAAATCAAGTGGCTTCCTAAGAGTTTTTCTCTTTTATGAACACCTCTCTCGGAAAGTGGTGTGAGATAGTGTCGGAGTGTCACTGACGATCGTATGCGTCTCTTTGATTAGCCTTTTCCCTGCCAACTGCGCCCTGTAGCTTGCTGAAGTATGACGATCATTGCGAAGTCCGAGAGTGTTGGAGCCTGGCTTACCTGCGTTAATGTAGAGTGCGATGTTTTAGATTTTGAATTTCGTCTTCAGGAAATCACCTTGTTATTATTTCTCGTTAGTAATGGGTACTGACTAACTGGTATAACTGACGTTTCGACGTTTCGATTACATTACTCCTCGCAAATGACCCAACAACCAAATCATCTGTGTAAAATGGTAGTAACAGAATGAGTTGAACGAAAAGATGGTGGAGTTTACAGCGCAGTCTGCAATGCAACCGAGTTTTGGATTGTTCCCCACACTAGAGGTTTGGCAATACCATCGTACTTGCAACCGGAGAGATGGCCATTGCATAGACCACAACCTGGAAATGATAGTACATAGTGTCATCGCGCAAAATATTGCACCGCTCTCCACGGCAGGAAAAATGGCTCTAATTGGCTTATGAAATGGCCCTTGGTTTCTCATCACAGGCCTTTCATGCCCTACGCTAAAAAGATATGCCTTTAGATCGATAGCCTAGAAATTTTGATGCCTTTTCGTCGTTTTTTTTTTCATTTATCAGCATTCCTTGATTATCATCTCAGCAAATTTCAAGCTCCCATAATAAAAGATAAGATGTTCCCCTTGATCTTTCTTAGAGCCATGCACCTGTCATCCGACGATGAGCATGATCGGACTCATTTGGCAAGCTCATTCCGAGAAGAAAATAGAAACCGACGAGCAGTAGGAGGCGACTACATCTGTGCTCATTGGAGACGTCGCGACTTTGTCCGAGCTCATGGAAAGGAGCTGCCCAGTATCGAGGGCACTGCTAAGCAGGTCAGAACATTGGACCTTTATATGGCGCCGTGATGCCATCTCCCTGCCCCCACATCTGTGAAAAATTGGATATGACCTATTGGCAACACATATTTTACAAATCTAGTCAGCAACTCTTCAAAAATGGGATAACCCTTAAAGGCTAATGCTCACGGAAAAGTTGTAGGTGGGCGGACATTTCGAGGGTTCATTCTCGGATTTAAGAGCATTTCAGCGGAGTGAAGGTGTGCTTGCTGGTACGTTTTGTCGGTCACCGGCAGAAGCTGCAATTGCCTTCCCGATTATAATTGTCAAAGATTTCAGTTGAATGAACTTTGCAAGCGATGGGCAGTGTCTCGGATCTTTCTAGCGACCGATGCTTATGACGCCGAAGTTGACCAACTTGCCAAACTTGTGACAGTACCCGTGTTCAGATACCAAAATGCTGATCTGCTTGATGGTGCCGTTGCAATAGTCGATCAAGTCAGTTCCGACTTCCAATTTACTATACATATGCTGCATGAGCTTCTGGGGCGTTTCTTTCTGCTCTTCATCGGGGAAATCTGTCTACGCGTTACCTATTGAGACTAACAGTGACTAGGAATTTATCCTCTGCTCATTATGTTTCAGTGGATCTGTGCCCACGCCCGAGCATTTACCGGAAGTTACGTCTCCACATTTTCTTATCGAATACAGGAAGATCGAGAGATTTTGGGTTTCCCACCGAATACCACATTCAATCGCCTCTGTCCTGATGATGTGCATGACTGCGAGCAGCCGGCCAAATGGACGATTGTTTATGAGTAATCCTGCTTCTATCAAGTTCACTGATTTCATACTTATTTATTTCATGTAACTCAGGTACAACCATAACATGGGACGGTCAGGGTCAACCGCCTCGTTAAAGCCATCCTGTGCGGTCGTTTTATATGACTGCTCTTCATACCCCAATTTTTTTTATTGCTGAAAATCACTGAAGTGTGATATCCTGCAAACGAAGGCAAAGGCAAATCAATATGAGTGAGATTGAGATCTCCAAGTTTTTAGTATCATTCTTAGTAGCCATAGTTTGAAGGTACTGTTCACGCTAATTCTGGGTAATCCAAAATAGAAGATAAGATGGAAAATAGTGCCATGAAGGCGACGAAACTGCGTGAATAGGTGTTGGTAAAGTGAAAAAAGGCTTCGAAAAATCGTTAAAAGGGGGGGGGGGGGGGGG